GCAAATGTCCTGATTGTCTGAGAGTTACAAAAGCCCAGACCTCACACACAGGCTGAGAAGGAGCAATGGTCTGCCCCAAGCTTTCAAGGTGAAGCACAGAGGCTGTGGGACCAATCAAAACACCTCACTACTCTGAATGTATTAAAGACCAAGAGAAAAGACAAAATTAGACTGTGTGAGAAAAACATTTTTTCGAGGATATATAGAAAGAGACATTTATCGAGAGAGATATTTAGTAAGTCAACCAAAGTAGTTGAGTGTCACACTGTAAACTGGGTAAAGTCTTTGTCAGGGAATCCTCTTAAATTCTCAGTCTTAGTCTTTCACATGTACTGATCCCTAATTTCTATCTTTGGGTGATTTAGCTCCCTTTTTTTTTAATATATCTAGAAAACAACTTTGACATCCAGGCATGTACAGAAATACACCCTAGACATGCATCAAGCTATGGATGCTAGTACGTTCTTCCATTATCTAGGAAAGCTGCCACATGCTGGCGTGCAGACATAGACATGGAGCGCATGGGAAAAAAGAAGGCATTCTGCTCTGCAGGAGCCCGGGCAGGCTCTCATAAGGCCCCAGCAGGGTCATCAAGCGAAAGGAGGATGTTAAAAGCTTGGAGGGAGCCCAGGGGACTGCCATCAAAAGAAATAAATGTTTGGGCTTCCCTGGTGGTGCAGTGGTTGAGAGTCCACCTGCCAATGCAGGGGGTGCAGGTTCGTGCCCCGGTCCGGGAAGATCCCACATGCCGCGGAGTGGCTGGGCCCGTGAGCCATGGCCGCTGAGCCTGTGCGTCCGGAGCCTGTGCTCCGCGACGGGAGAGGCCACAACAGTGAGAGGCCCGCGTACCGCAAAAAAAAAATAAATAAAAAAGTAATAATAATAAATGTTTGAGAAATAATCCTGAAGGGGCAAGTTGAAAGGAACTGGTCTTGTTTCCCTGGATAACAGCTTATAAGTGCACAGCATGGACCAGCCTGGGCAAGGCCTCTTCTGGGTAGTGAGAAGGCAGCTCTCAAGCCACACAGGGCCCACGGAACAAGAGATAACAGCTTCAGGGGCGATTTTTAAATTTCTAGAGAAATGTGGGGCTCTCAGATTTTGAAATGTATGTCCAAAGAAAGTGACAGATGGCTTTCTGTTACCCCCTTCCCAACATCAAGGATAATCAGACATAATCTAGTTTAGAACAATTGACAAACCTCAGAGAGAAGTTGAGTTCCCAGTTCAACACTTAGGTCACTGTTAGCTCTGTGATTCCCTGATTTGACTTGGGGGGCTGTTACTTAAAAAATGTGAAGTGTGTGTGTTCGTGAGTATGTGATTGTGTGTGTGTGTGTGTGTGTCATAGGATGTGGCTCTCATCTCCTTCCTTCCCAGGAAAAATAAGTACAGACATTTCTTGGGAACATTTTTCCAAAGAGAACTGGCACTTTTGTCTGGAGACACACCCTAGCTGCTCCTTCCTTGAAGGAAAGACTGGCTTTCTCATGGCCCTGCTCCTTAGTTTCTATTCCATCACCTGCTGCAGTAAAACTAGAGATGGCCCCATCTCCAGATTAATGGGGGTCACTAACACCATAGTCCAGAGATGGAGGGATCACATGAACAGCATTTGCTGTCTATAGAGGCACTCACACTTCTTTCTTCTGAGTACACAGCTTTCTACTTCTAAAAAGATAAAGTGATGTGCTTCAAGTGCAAAATATTTCTCCTATACAGTTTTGCTTTTATAAATAAGAAAATAAAATAGCTTTCTCATGGAAGCTGCAGAAATTCAATCTAATTTCCAAAGGTCTGCTTTATGACAAATGCCAAAATATGTGGCTGCTTTGCTGTAAAATTCCAAGGAAACGTCACTTTCCCCTAATTGCCCCGTGACTGCTCTATTTATTCAGGAGTGAATTAAGAAAGAAAAGATCTATTTTTCATCTCACCGAGTTTTAGAGAGTATTATGCGTTGTGTAAGAAGCTCTAAATGCTTTGGAATGTATACTTCTTTCTTGAACTTCCCGTCTTCTCCTACGTATTTTAAAGTTCCAGTCAGATGAGACTATACATTTCTACAAATCTTGTGTCTCCTATATTACCTGAAGCCAAAACAGACTGCATAGCCAAGCAAACATTACCTCCACTTTTATTTTTACACAAATGCCCTTGGTGGGCAGTCACTATGCGCCCCAGGCTCCTCGGCGGGTCAGTCAATCACTACTGTCTCCAGATTCTTTAGGGGTGGTCCATCATCATTGGCCTAGGCTCCTGGGGGTGGGCAGCAGTCCCTTTTGGCCAGCTCTACCCATCTCTGCTGGAGTAACCTCCGTCCCTTCTGTCTCCTCCTGCAATACTTCTCAGAAAGCTCCAACCATGATCTGAAGTGGTGGGTGAAAAACTAGTACTGAGGGAGCTGAAAAGAGATAAGATGTGAACAACCTGGAAAAAAAAACCACAGCTCCTTCTCTATGAGCAGAAATGTCCCTTAATATGGCCTCTTAAAGCCAGACTCCTCAATAGATAAGCACTACTGGAATTATTTCAGTGACTGCTTTTGTTTGTCTGAAACAGATAACATGGTCTTCCAAAGATTTCCTAGTAAGAAGTCTATTATTAATCGTCTATTAAGCGTTCTGTGTTTTAATAACTATCAGGAATCCCGGTGGAGGAAAAACACTTTTTAAAATAGTGACCAGGATGATTATTTGTCAGATAATGCTAGGTGTTCCGTATCCTAGTTTGTGTACGAATATTCAATGTTTTTAAATGTCTTTCACCATTGACTGGGGTGACTAAGCCTAGGGAGGTGTCATCCTGGTTGTAACTTAAGGAGACATCTCAGTCAAGAGCATGGGAATTAGGTGAGAAGAGGGTCTTCAATAAGTACCCATCGCCTTTAGTTCAATTCCAAGTTGTAGGTATGCAGAGCAAGGTTCTTCTGAGCCATGTTTACCCCGTTAACGCCAGCATATGGGAAGAGGTGAATGCTACATCTGGTCACAAGCCACAGGGGAGAGACTCAGAGGCCAGCCTTCTAATTTGCAGCCCTGACACCCCTTCTATGATGTGGCTGTGTGCGAGAATTTCTCCTGGTTGGAGAGAAAAAGTGAAGCATCTAAGTAACAAGAGGGTCTTTCTCCTGTTGCTGTGTTTTGAAGAATGAAGAACATCCTACCAGGTAAGCGAAGAGCTGATAATGCAAAGGTACAGAGTTGCACCTTGTTTCTGTCTGTAAGTTACCCCAGGAAACTGCTTTCATTGAGAATTGAAGGGGCGTAGGATGAAACAACTATAAAGATAATTAGGAGAAAAAGCAAATGAAAACAAAGAACACAAAACCTCTCTGAGATACCGAGGTAATGCAGTAGCAAGGTATATATACTTGGAAAATCGATTGTATTAATGCAATCCTCCGCCAGCTAGCTAAAGTTCTCTCCTTTCTGTATTCAAGTTTTTAAGCTTTGAAAATTTGTAAATGTAATATTTTGGAATAGCTTTAATCAACTAAGGTGGCAATTTATCTTAGTGAGGTTAATTGTGTTATTTATTTATTTATTCATTGTCTTATTGTTTCTACCTCTTTTATACCCAAAAAAGTGTTTGAGGTGGATTCATTTGGTTACAAAGCATTTAAAATGTTAAATTAAGACACAAGAAATTCTAAATGGCACTTGAGATGCTCTTGAGAGGAGCCTCTCATCTCTTGCATTTGTAGATATCTCATATATTCAAGAATCAAATCCTGTGCATATTTAAGCCAGACCAAAATACTATAAAGCACCCTGTCTCCCATTAGAAAAAATGCAATTATTCTTCCTGGCTATGTTTTTAAAATAGCTTGACATTTATATAATTGATGAATATATAATTTGCTAATCAGTAATGGACAGTTCCCATGGAGGTATCATTGCTAGTTTTATAATTTACAATTTCAGAAGAGTTTTATGAAAGTGAACATTAAAGCTGGGAAAAGCAGAGAGAAATCACTCCAGGATGGTATTATCCTATTTAACACCCATAATATATTTAACAGTAACAACAATTAAGCTTCACAAATTGTCATTGTACTGAATTCCTATTGGATGAATTATAGATAGAGCATTTATATGTAGTGATTTTTCCCCATACTATATCCTCCGTACACAAGCATATACCAATGAACATCAGAGCAACATACTGTACTATAAAGGATTAAATGATACTGTAGCTTATGCCTTTATTCCTTGTATCTTTTCTCCAAATGATAATGGAGATCTCATATACCATGCATAAACACTTACATTCCCTTACTGAGAACATTTCTGATATTTTTGGTATAAGAGAGAAAAGTCATTTATTTAAAGATTGCGTTATTAATCTACAGTTTGGGGTAAATACCTAGATTATCTGGTTGGTCAATTTGTCTTTATGGCCAAGAAAAAAGACTAGCTGCCATGTTCAATCCAAATGAGTTGGTATATGAATATTTATCAGGACATCAATATTCACTGTCTTACAATCATGCTCCAAGCTAAATAAAAATAATAGTAAGATGGCCACAAATATTACAGTATAATAGGATAAGAACTAAACAATATGTACAAATTCATTGACAACATCTGTGCAAGGGTTGTGGACAAAACATTTAAAAAGAAATCTACATAAAACAAAGTCGGTAAATTTATCAAACGTTGATAAATTTTCGGAGACGGTATAAAAGTACACAAAACACGGAAGAGAGAAAGAACTTTAAAAAAATAACCACTAAGCCAATACATATAGTACAAGTTTACATTTATATTACAGAATGATGGAAACCAGAGACAAAAATGATTTGGTAACAAACAGCAAAGAAAGTTTCACCAATCACAAGGAAGAAAGATTTTCCTTTTTGGATGAAAACACAGACGGCCACAGCTCATCCCTCCCACCCATACACACACAGAAAAATAAAAGCAAATGCAAAAGTTGTTACAGCAACACACGACAGACAGAGGTGGAAAGCGTTTGGCATGTCGCATCACAGGAAGTCAATCACGATTGGCTAACGATGATGGTACCTGGCTCTGTTGCAGGTCACTGGCTTGCCTGAGAGGAGTAACGGATGGAGGGGGCACACCTGATGTGGACGCAGACCGACCTAGTTTGCAGCTTACTTTCGGTTCTGTGAACAAGGGGGAAAGACAGAGCATTAGCTGAGCAAAGTCTGCAGGGATGAACCGGACCCCAGGCTTTCTTCCGGCTTTGCTACACGTTCTTTAATACACTGAATTCTTCTGATGTTTGCTAATCATTGGCAGGTGATGAAACAATTTCATAACCATTGATTCTAAAATGAGCCTTGTTCACAGATCAGCTCCTGGGAATAAAGAACAAACCACTTAAGTTCCACATCTTGTTGCCTTGCACACTTTACCCTATTTAGAGCGAGTTTCTATAGAGCGATTACTGGAGCAACAAAATCCCATTGGGGAAAAAGCCAGTGACATGACTATTTTTGGTGCTTCATTTTCAGTCTTGGTCCAAGGGTCTCCTGTGTCCTAAAATGTCTTTTCCACCCTCTCCAAATTTTTCTTCCATCCCTCCCTCCTTTCATTCTTTCATTCTTTCTTTTCTTCATTCATTCTCTTATTCTTTCCTTCTTTTTCTAATTTCCTAACTTTCTAATTTTCAAGTCTATATTGTGCTGATTACTTTCACCATGTTTTCGATGTAACATTTCTCTAATTTAACTTCATTTGCTTTGAATTGTATAACCACTTCGAAGACTTTTGACATCTTTCATAATAATATTATTTTTCAAAATTAAAAAGCCTCCCCCTGACTCTTCCTCTATTTAAGGAGCCTAAATAGGCTGCCTAGGTCATTATCAAGATACTTTGAAGACTGCAATTTGGGGAATGGAAAGAGTTCCCTTCATTCAAGAAGCTCAGAATTTATGGTATACAGAGGGCACTGATTTTCAGACATATTTGAAGGTATTTATAAAGGAGAAGGCATCAAAAGAAAAGTTGACATCTATGCTTTTGCCACAAACTTTTATATTACTGTCAGTTTTTGAGTGCCTAGTATATCCCAGCTTCTGTTTGGGCTGCACTTAAATTATCTCTAATCTTAAAGATAATCTTTAGAGTTACGAGTTAGCTATAAATGCTCCCAATTTACAAATTAGAAACCTGAGGCTCAGCAAGGTTAATATTTGCATTGCAAATACACAAGCGCTTTTCAAAAAAACCTTTCATTATATTAATACATTTGACTTAGAGATGAAACTCTCTGAACTAGTGGCTTCAAATGATATTACATCACTAATTTACCAAGCAGTGGCAAGCTGATGCTGGAGAACCAGCTCTGTGCTGCATAGGAACACTATCTTTATGCCACTTTTTTTTTTTTTTTTTTGCGGTACGCGGGCCTCTCACTGCTGTGGCCCCTCCTGTTGCGGAGCACAGGCTCCCGGACGCGCAGGCTCAGCGGCCATGGCTCACGGGCCCAGCGGCTCCGCAGCATGTGGGATCTTCCCAGACCGGGGCACGAACCCTTGTCCCCTGCACCAGCAGGCGGACTCTCAACCACTGCGCCACCAGGGAAGCCCTATGCCACTTTTATATAAGCTGCTCATCAGAGAAAAGCTTTGCTATGTCTGCATCACATGACCTATGGCTAACTTCAGCCTCTGCTAACTGCCTTCTGGCCATTCTCTCCCCATCCTTCACAGACACCAGATACAGATACAAAGAATAAGATAAGTTTGCGTCCATTCACACAGAGATCTTTAAATACACCCTCACCACCACACACCCTTCCTCTCCCACCCCTGCTTCAAACTATTAAACAATGCCTCACATCCATATTAGAATGATTATCTTAACGGGTACTAATAGCCTCTTTCTTGGCAAATTAGATAGACTTTTTCTCTGTGCTTCTGATTTAGCAAGAAAAAAAGGACAATAAGCAGGCTTTGGACTATGAGATGACTCCACTCATATGACCTTAGAAAATGTTTTTCATATCATTTGTTTTATTTCTTTTCAAAACAAATGAATATAATCATTTACTCATTATTCAGAATCCATTTATTTTATAGCTACTATGTGCCAGGGACTGTACAGAGTGTGGTCACCAAAAACCCACTCTTGCCCTAAGAGAGACTTACAATCTATCCAGGAGCGAAGATATTAAGCAACAAATTATGCATTTGATTATATAAAAGCAGCTGTGATCAGCCCTCTCGGTAGAATTATCAGTGGTAGAAGAACATTTGCTGGGGGAATGAACAGGTGTTAGAAGGATGCTGGTCCCCATACCCATAGTTTCTCTGCTCAAAACTAACTTGTACACAATGCCAGGCGGAACTTCTTAAATTGCTTTTAGATCACACACCTTATTCAAAAGTTTTAAATTACTCCCCATTTCATATGATAAAAACTCACTTGGCTAATTTTCAAAGGTCTCCCTGTGATCTGGCCCCATCTGATCTGATCCACTGTGTTCTCCGTGGCTGTCTGCTCCCCAAAGCATAGACAACTCAGTATCTCTTCTCGGTCTCCACATCTTACCCTGCTTCTGTACTTCACAAGGTGTCCCCACGCATGGCCTTTCATCAGACCAGATGTTATCTATTTTCTAGGGCCTGCTTCAACGTGCACGTCTATTGTGAAGAATCCTGCAACCTTGTTTACCTCTTTCTTCCAAATAGCCTTAGCACTTATATACCGTTTGCACTGCTTGCTGTGGCTCTGAGTATTTATGTTGGTGAGGACCACAGAGTAAGTGTTCAATTAATATGATTTTTCTTTCACTGAAGACACTCAAATTAACCTAGAAAACATCAACGCAACTTCTAAAGCAAATTGTGGCAATGACGGTAACATAGAATATGTTTTAAGGCCTGGGTTCAAGGTCTGGCTCCCCGACTTACCAAGGCAGTGATTCTCATTCAAGGGTACATGATTTTCTAGGGAAACTCTCCCTAAGTTTTGTGCAGGTGATTTTAGTATCTACCCACCCACTCTTGAAAATATAAGAGTGTTCAAATATAAATGTGTCCCATGATGACATAACCTATCACTCTAACTTATAAATGAACCTAACTTCCCAGGAGGCATAAATCCTAGCATCTCTTAAGGAATCATCTTGTATTATATAAAATAAATGTAAAACATCTATCAGAATCCTGGTTGACATGTTTTCATAATAAGCCGATGTTTCCATATATCCCTTTATTGCATTAGCACATTTAGTCACATGGAGAAAATTCAACATTTTTTCCTAGAAAAGGATGGCAAATAATGTTTTTTACTATGAGGTTCCTTTAAAGGGTATGTTGAAGAGATTATCTGTTGAGTGACACAATCCAATGCCTTTTATATTACCCAGTGTAACTATGGATTAATTTCCCCTGCTAGGTTTCCAGTCAGACTCTGACTTAATCAGCCTCTTCCAAGCATAGACAGTGATATCTCTAAAGCACAGACTGAGACTTATTAAAATCCAAGCAAACTCCCAAGTTCATCGTGACCCGCAAAGGCCTTGCTTTACCCCAGTTGGACAGTGGTCCAGATCGTGTCTTGGTTCATCCACCCCCTTAGGGACTGCAATATAACCACTAACCACTCATCACACATGGCGGCTGACCTTGCCGGCCAGCCACCCTGTAGCTTTAAAGTCAGGTCACCCAGCGGTCGACTGTTCAGTCCCAACATGGCTCATATGGGTTATGACTTCACCTGCAGTGGCAGGCTGAGATGATTACTTATGAATTCATTATGCATACATGCGTACACCGGCAGGTGGAAAATGCACACATTTGTGTGTGTGCACACACATATACATACATAGATGCTCTATAACATTGTTGCTTGATGGTATCATGTCATAAGGACAATTTTTTTAAATTGTGAGGTTTTGGTTTATCTTTATCATACTCATTTAGCTCTTCTTTTCTGTTTCACCTTGTCTTTGACTTAAATACATTTGGAATCTATTATGGTGTTTGTGGGCCCTAGTTGGTGAAACAAATCCTTATGATGTTGGATCCACCAAGGTTTCTTTGGCCCAAAGAATTTTCTAAAAAGTCTCAAAAATCCTAGAAAAGATTCTGTTTTTATAACCAAGCCTCTTAGAGAGTCTCTAGGGCTGTGATATCAAAGTTAAATCGTCCAGTTCACTTACCTTTAGAAATACACTGTGCTTTGAGCCTTAAATAGTGAGGCTTAGGAACCACAAGACTAAAAACAGTAAGTTTTCATCCTAAATTTTGTTAATATAAAAACTGCCAAGGTGTTTGGGGGTCAAAAGCGATGGATATATGCCTCAAAAGTTAGCTAAGATAAGGCTTTCCTCCCCTTAGAAAAACTCATTCCATTAAAAGATTAATTATGAGCTAGAAAGTATCTATTCTCCCTACATCCAAGGAAAAACCCCTTCTTGTGTAATAAACTACCAATAACCATCCTAGAAGTAAAAGTTGATGTTGTTTGTGCAATTTCAGTGAAGGTCAAAGTGTAAAGAGAACAAGAAAGAATGTGAGAGAGAGAGAGAGAGAAACATAGAGACAGAGAGAGAAAGGAAAAGGGAGAGTGGAAAAAAGGTAGAAGAAGGAAGGAGAGGGTGAGAAGGGGGGAGGGAGAGAGGAAAGAAGGAAGAAAGAAGACATTAATTTTAATTCCTTGAAATAAACCATCATGAAGACATTATCATGTGATCTTTCCAGGATAATAATTCATCATCATCTTAAAGTTCTTATTAAGTAAGTGCCCATTGGACTTTGTTACTTAGAAAGAACTATTTTCTCTCTTTTTATTCTTGTTGGATACAATCTTTCATTGCTTTTTTTTAAGGATGGCAATTTCTCCATCATTTCTCATCTTCCCTGTAAGGTGAACTGAATTTCTGTTCAGGATTATGTTCCTTGGTATTGTTACAGGATAATCCCCAAGGCACCCACAGCTACTATTATGAGTACTAGAGTTCTCTTTGTTTTCAGAAAGCAAAGACAAATGATTGTTCTCAACCTCTGGATCTACACAGCAATAAGAGATTAGTGTATTTTTACGAAAAAAAACACACTTTCATCTAGCATCAAAGAAATAAGATCAAATTCTGGGGAGACATATTTTTCTCCATCTTGTTTTATTTTTTCAATACATAATATTTTTCTCT